CAAGTGAAGAGACGGCGTACCCCAGAGGACTGGCTCATGCCATTGCGAGAGTGTTTGCATCCATTTTGTCAATGCATGGGTGGAAACCTCCTCTTGAACAAATGCAAGAACAGCCCGATGTGTCCTTGCGCTCCATGAGAGCCATTGCAACCGCGCAGCCAAAGGCATCAAAAATGCCGCCAATAGTCAGAGAGCACAAAAACGTGGTCTTGATCACGGGGCCTTTTACTGCACTTGCAACAGCACCAGTAGAACGCATGCAGAGGTTGAAACAAAGTTGGACTATTCCACCATCCTGTCAAGCAAATGTTGATCATTTACCTCCTGGTGCCCAGCTGTTGCGTACCACGCCATTGCGGTCAAATGGGGGTTTGTTACAGACCAAGCAGCCAGGAGTTGGTGTCTTCGAGCAAGCGTGGGGCATTCCATTTAGTCCAGATGAATTTATACAGGAAGCATTGGAGCGAGGGCATCCCAAATCTTTTTCTAGGCTGGTACCCCGAGTGTTACAAACTGCCATTGAGAACAACTTTGGCAAAGACGGATTGCACTCCTTACCTTTAAGTAGGATCCAATGGTTTGCAAAATGGACCGAAAGAGCCAAACAGCTTCAGCAGCGAGACATGGAGATCAAGAATGCACTTCCGGACCATGCAGCCAAGATTCTGGAAGCAAAACGTTTGGCCTTGTTTAAGGAAATTTTGGAAGAGCTTGAGTATCCCGATTTGGGTGCGTTTGATGAGCTGGTTGACGGAACTGACCTTGTGGGTGAAGTGAAGCCTTTTGGAATTTTTGAAAAATCATTCAAACCGGCGGAGAGAACAGTGCAGCAGTTGAGAGAAGCAAGCAAATCAGAACGAATGCTCAATTTCTTCAAGTGCTCTTCATCAGGGGACAAGGAAATCGATGACATTGTTTACAGAAAAACGTTGGAGGAAGTTGAGTTCGGTTGGGCCACAGGGCCTTTGCGGTTGGAAGATTTGCCGGTAGACGCTGTGATCAGCAGAAGATTCGGCCTTCGACAGCCAGGCAAGATCAGACTCATAGATGATCTCAGTGCTAGCGGAATTAACCAAACGGTGCAAACAGCGGAATCACCCAAACCACATTCTGCAGATTTCATTGCAGCCATGCTTTTGGCAGTGCTAAAAGTTAGCAAGGTTCAAAGCTGATGGGAAGGTCTTTTGATTTAAAAAGCGCTTATAAGCAACTCGCTATCTCACCAAACTCTTTGTCATTTGCGTTCGTAGCAGTCTACAACCCTGACAAAGCCAGAGCAGAGGTGTATCAATTGCTTGCAGCACCCTTCGGTGCAACCAGAAGTGTGTATTCATTTTTAAGGCTGTCGAATGCAGTTTGGTACATTGGGGTCAAAGCCCTCAACCTCGTATGGAGTTGTTTCTTCGACGACTACGTGGTCTTCAGCCGTGATGAGCATGTGAACAACGCGGAGCAGTCCGTGTCTCTTTTGTTTAAACTGCTTGGGTGGAAATTTGCTGAGGAAGGGGACAAGGCGGATACCTTTTGTAGAGAATTTGGTGCGCTTGGCATTCGCATCATTCTGGATGAAGCAGACAAAGGACTGGTCAAATTTACAAACACTGAGAAAAGATCCGCAGAGTTGATCGGCACAATAAACACCTTTTTGAGCAAGGGCAGCATGACAGTTCTGGAGGCGCAGAAGCTCAGGGGACGAATGCAATTCATGGATGGTCAGTTGTTTGGACGTTTGGGAAAATTATGTATGAGAGAGGTCACCAATCATGCATGTGATCCAAAAACTTCGAAACTGAGTACTAGGACGTACGATGCATTGAAACGGTTCATCATCTTCTTGGAGCATGCAGAGCCACGACGCTTACATCTGAGCACTGACGATGTTTGGCATATCTATACAGATGCATGTTATGAACCAACTTCATACGACTGGAAATGCGGTCTGGGAGGTGTCCTAGTAGGACCCAATGGAAAACAAGTCGCTTACTTTTCAATGTCATTGAGCGATGAACAGATGGAGCTTTTAGGATCTGAATCAAAGAAGACAATAATTTTCGAAGCGGAGCTTTTAGCTTTGGTGCTCGCTTTCTCAGTGTGGCGCGAGTACATTGCAGCCTTTTCTCTGATCTGTTTTGTGGATAATAACTCGGCGAGAGATGTCGCCATTTCTGGAAATGGTAGAAACATCACTGCAAATTGTTTGATTGAATTTTTGCTGAAACTGGAAATGTCGAGTTGCACAACACCCTGGTATGCAAGGATTCCTACGCCTTCAAACATTGCTGACGAACCCTCTAGAGGGGAAATACAGAGATTCATAAAATTCAAAGTGCCTGGTACGTCTGTCCAAGACGGTTTGCACGAAATCATGTTAGCACTGGCAGAGAACACGGTTATGAGGGGATCCTTACACTGAATTGCAGATACAAATCGGAAGCACCACTTGAAAGTTTTTCTTGCCAGCGATTTATTTGATTGCTGGATCTGGTGGCAACAACTTTGGAGCGACAGGTCGACGTTTCATACTTGCACAGCCCGTTGTCACTGGTGTAAGAAAAGGAGCGAGTGAGATCAGGAGTTTCGTTCAATTTTTCACAGTTGCAGGTCATTTGAGTTGCAAGATTTTTCATTTGATGCATCAACGATGCCAAGGGTTCTTTGTGTTTTTCTATAAGGGTTCGTGGTGATCATCAGCCTTAACTCTATGGGGTTCGTTTGCGTAGGGTAACTAGCAGCCACCAATACCAGAAATAAGTTTGCGGTCAACTTGTTGATAGCTCCTTATTTCTGGTGTTGGTGAGAGAACTTGTTCTCGTGCTGCTGGTTGCTCCTCCTTGTTGCTGTCTCCTCTATGCTGGCTGATGGATCACTCGAAGTAAACAAGTCAACCTTGGAACCTCGAACACTCAGTGCAAACGTTTTCAACAGTGTACAGTTCAACATTCATTTGCAGTCTTGCTTTACAATGCAGTTCAACTTGGTGAAGATCATGTTGGAACATTCAATGCTTGGCAACATTGGCTCCAAGGGACGGGTGGCGGGTAGCCTCTTACTTTTTTGGTAGAGGTTGCCCCACCCAACCCTCCCTTTGGTGCACCACTCATCCTTCGACTGAGTGGGCTCTTTTGACTTCCGACTTTGCGGCTGCACAGGTGGGGTTGGTACAGAAAAACCTGATCCTGCGTAATGAATCCTCACTGCAGTGGCTGTCAAAGTCAAGTCCTTTGTCTCCACAATCAAAAATATGCAAGTCCTCAAGTAGAGATGCGATTCCGCTGGAGTCAAATGAGCCAAAATCATAGTCTGAAGTTCAAACCAGCCAGGAAAATGGATAATGAAATGTTCCTGAGGGTTACACGTTGCAAACCGTTCCAGGCTGATCCACATACACAATGCCAAACAGGATCCACGAAATCAAACTCAATGCAAAAATGAACCCACTCCAGAAAAAACCGCAGTCTCGAGCTCGCACTGTAGCTGAGCTCACAGGCACCGGTCGGAGCGCCAAAGGGCTGTTGGCAGCAACGCGGCCCCGCTCCCTTGCACCCATGCAGACGCGCACAGCGCCGCGGAGATCTGAGTGAGTAAAAAGAAATTGTGAACAAATTAACTGAAATCCTGCTGACATACACAAAACAAGACAAGAAAATAAACACATGCAACCAAACAAGTTGACATGCAACCTCTACCAAAAAAGTAAGAGGCTACCCGCCACCCGTCCCTTGGAGCCAATGTTGCCAAGCATTGAATGTTCCAACATGATCTTCACCAAGTTGAACTGCATTGTAAAGCAAGACTGCAAATGAATGTTGAACTGTACACTGTTGAAAACGTTTGCACTGAGTGTTCGAGGTTCCAAGGTTGACTTGTTTACTTCGAGTGATCCATCAGCCAGCATAGAGGAGACAGCAACAAGGAGGAGCAACCAGCAGCACGAGAACAAGTTCTCTCACCAACACCAGAAAAAAGGAGCTATCAACAAGTTGACCGCAAACACGGTTGGGTTTGGATTGGATGCAACAAACCCCTGGACAATAACATCATGACATGATATCATACATCATGATTCATCATCGCGACCTGTCTGTCTACATATGACAATGTGTTTCTTTCTCCCACGAGTTGAATCATCGATGTATCAACACAAATAATAGTTAGAAGTAAAGGCCATCCTGAAAATCATTGCTCATTGATTCACCATTCCCACTGGCCAACATCGTCACGGTCACATGGTGGTGGCCATTCCCGCCGCTCCTCCAGGAACCCCTGCTGTGAAAACGATGGAGTTGAAGAGTTTGACGGCCGATTGGCCGAAGGAGGACCGTAAGTCCAGCCTCAGTTGGTTTCCGTGGCACCAAGTGGTAGGTTTCGTCGGGGCTTGTGAAGGGGAGCACATGACAATTGTCTTTAATATAGAAATAGGCTGACCATAATGAATCATCATCATCCAAAAAGATCTCGATGATTTTTGGTTTGAGTAGACATAGTGGTCATTCGATATGATACGCATACTGTTTTCCGGATTCATGTGTTCAATTTTGTACAATTGTGCAACTTTACAACTACCTATTATCTAGTTACTGGTTCTTTAGATTTCTGACATTGCTTGCTACCTATGTTCTTTAGTAAACAATGCCATTGCACTACCCGAGCCGTAATAATATTTTTGTCTCCAGTGGCTGCTCTATGATACATCTACGCAACATCGGATGCCGGTGTCCTCAGCAACTCAGCGACTCTGCATTTGGTTGACATTTACTCAGGTACAATCGTGATGATGACATCATCAGCTATATCACTAATTCCAAAAGCTACCATACAGATGGGTCAATTACAAAACAACTATATATTTGGTTGTAGTGGATATGGACACTCACCAATGCTGTGACCCGTTGACGCGACTGTCAAAAAACAAACTGTACTGGGTCGTTCGTTGACTTGTCGCACAGCGATTGCAGGATGCACGTAGCATCAATTGATCTGCTGGACCCTTGGCAACCTATCTATGATCGGGATTTGGGAAGTGCCGGAAATGCGTCTTCATGACGGCGCTTCCGTGGGCTCACACTAAACGATGGTTGCTTTCGGTGGCCGTGCTGTGCATTCAAGCTACGGTCACGATCCAGCTTAAATTTTTGCATTGCCATCACATCGGGATCCATCATCACTTGAGTAAGAACATACAAAAGTGCCATGCCACTGATCGTCACGTGCATGGAATTACCGGCTTGGTGCAATGTTGCTCTCCGTGATGATTTGGGGAGGTCCAAGGAAAGACCATTGATCTCGGCTACCCGTCTCAAAGCATAGCTGTTGCAGCATTTCCCATAGCTGTGTACAGGGTCAATGGGAAACCCTTGGGATGAAAAGGTTTCCAACCCTGTCATCCACCGACGGTGCCGAGAGCTCATCATGAGGTTGATGGACGCGATCAGGGTCATCATAGCCTCACAGGGATATTGTGTTAGTGTTTTGTCACTGGTCGATGTGGTCACATGGTGACGTGATTCATACCAAACCTCTTACTACATAAAGCAGTACCCAACTTCTTCTCAAACACATCTAACTGTCTAAATGTTGTAATAATCATTACCGTGGTTTCATGAATGCCAAATAACCACCAAAAAATGATATACACTCCCATCATGTGACCTGTCCACGAGCATACATTGGAGTAACATCAGGATCTTGGTTGAGACTGTAGCAACTGTTGGGGAACTTGGCCATGTAAGTTTGATAGAACTTCTGTTCACTTGTAGTCAAACATGCTTCCCAAACTGAACTTCCATCGTCCATGATGTCTCCGAGTTGGGGTGGCTCACGTTGACTTGAACTGTCAACTCCTGTCTTCCATCGCGACTCAGGACGCGATGCGGCCCACGTCAACTCTTCTTGTAGATCGCCAGCATCTTTCCTGGCAATTGGTAATTGCGGTGGTGGGCGATGGATGATTTGAATTGGGTGACAATCCTTGACATATATATATATATACATATGCATATATCGTTATATTGATTACAATATGCATATATAAATATAATGATAGTGATGTACTATCTTTGAGAACACATAATTCTTCTGTGCAAAACAATAACTAACTGTAATAATATGATCAAGTGGAGTAAAGGGTTACCTGATCCCACCGGTGACAGCCACACGATTGGATGGATTCCCATTAGTAGATTGAAAAGATAATACACACAGTACATACATACATACATACATACATACATACATACAGACATACATACAGACAGACATACAAACCGAGATTCTCAGACTCTTCTGATTGCCACCAAAACATGGTCCAATCACCCACAACTTCCGGTGCGAAGAACAACTTTGAAAAAATGTTGAAGACGGACCGGAAGCCCAACGTCTTTGCACGATGTCTGCCCCTTGGAGGTAAAGGGCAGCTAAGGACTGATGTCAAAACAAAAACAATATCATTCATGGGATTGGTGAACCTCTCTGTTTTTGTAAACAACATGTAGCTGAAAACATTAAATATCGTGCACATAGCATTTATGTAACTAAACATCATCATGATATGTCGTAAGTAGTTAACATAAAAATACCTGTAGCCTGTAGTATACAGCACAAAGCGGTGGTGGAAGTTGCAAAAAGAGGAGACTTATAGGAGAGCGTTAAGAGAGCGTGGTTGTTATGAATCATGGATGGCAGAGCGACTCTACGGTGGACCGACAAACATAACATATCCACCGACAAGGCACACAGCCCACTGTCGGTTCCTGGCAATCGGCCATCCGAACTGTATGGGTGACAGGACTACGAAAGTCCAGTCCCATGCCCCGAGCACTTCTGTGAATATGGAGCGATCAAATTGATCCACACACTCCTGAATCACAATGGGCTCTCCCAATGCTATCCTCATGGCTGCCCATACGAGGAAAAAACAGAAGGGAAGGGACTTCTGGCGTTCCTGCAAGCCCATCGGTGAATCTGCCGTGCAAGGAGTGCCTGCCACATGTAACATTGCACCTTCTTCTGGTGTGCACAGTCGGCCATGTGCCACACAGTGAGCCTTCATGCTTGTCTTCAACGCACGTTTGTTGATCACTTGTTCTTTCAGGCGATCAATGGTTCCTGTGTCTTTCATGTGCTGGAGCTCATTCCCCAATCCTGGAACAAGAAAGCTTGCAGTGTTTCCGAATAAGCATTTTGGAGGGAACGGATGCACTTGTAGTTCATGTTGCGCTTGGCGGTCCCACTCCTTATCAATGCGCTGATCATAAACCATTTACGTATATGGATGTTTACCAATGTTACTGTGAATCATTGAACAATGCTTGATTTGATGATAATGATCACATGTATTTTTGGTGAACCGGACTAATAAACATACCAAAAATGCTATTAAGCATATCTATAAACCTGACCTGCTACAAAATCACGGATACATAGATAAGTGGCGACCCCATACAGATGTTGTGGATGTTCCACATCAGTGCCAGTAATGTATGATGCTGCGTATCGAAGTTGGGCGAAGGCACTGCCTGGACTGTCAATGCCGCTAAACGATGTGGAGTAGGATGTCAACTCCATCCGCTGACAAAGCCGCTGGATAGACAATAGATCATCAGTTGGCCCCGCATCTGAACATACAAACTTTTCATCAATGTCAAGGTTGTTCATGGATTGATCCTGGTAATCGGCCGGCAAGTTCTTGTATGTGTTCAAAAAACGTTCGGGCCATCCTGAGAATGAATGGTTCGTAAAATAACCAGATACATTTGGAATACATTGGGGGTTGTGAAATCTTTGGTTTGGTTAACAAAGCATTTGCCAAAAACAAAAATACATCATGTACCCGAAATTCTGTGTAGCTCCGTCATGATTTCTTTCATGCCATGCCCGTCGGATGTTCCAGTTGATTTTACATCCACTGGCTGTAGTGCCGACGGCGGAGGTGCATTCGCTGCATTCACTTTGTGCTGTGCCGCATGGACGGACACTGGTACCTGAGGAAGCTTGGCATCCTCATCATCAGGCCCGGTGGTCCTGGGCTGCGGTTGCATTGGATGGTGGGCTTTAGTCATTAGTCTTATCATTGTATGGTAAACGGATGACGGATGATCAATGGCCAAGTATATTTGAATGCTCGCATTGGAATCAAACAGGTTCGGTTTCAGCATCAACACATGATCTAATATTGACAAAAACAACCAACTCATAAGTACAGATACCAAGAATCTCGGCAACTGGTTTTTCGGTCGGTGAACCAGGTTGGGGGATATTGGTCTCATCACTGGAATGATTGTCAGCTGCATCGACTGAGTCAGCTGTTGGTTGAACCGTCTGATCAGCACCCGTGTGTTGCTCAAAGGCCTCCACTTCAACCACATTGTTTAGGTCACCAGTCTGTTGATCAGCACTCCCCACATCCATTGATACATCTTTCTGATCATTCTCCATGCCACCCTCATGACTCTCATGTTGATGCACTGGTTCAATTCCGTCACCAGCGTTGTGTTGTGTTTCAACACCAACATCTTCAACACTGGTTTCTTTGGCAACTGTTGGAACATCAGTATCATCAACATCATTCCTTTTGAGATCGGATTGCGTCCCTGTATGTTCACTTTGTTCACTGGTAACATGTGGGACTGAACTTGACGGTTCTGCTGGCACACCTGAAGACTGTGCTGCCCCTGCAGTGTCACTAGCATCAGTATTGCCAGGCGTAGCTACAGGTGCACGGAAAAACTCTTGTTTCTCCCTGATGGTCCCCGCCGTAGGAGGCACATGATGAACTGTAGCACTCCCATACCCAGAGCGTTGTCTAACAGATAACAGCTCGTAAGTCAATGGACCCTTGGGTTTGTAGTATTCCAGCACAACTGCAAACAACTTGGTCGTACCCTGATCGACGCCCAGCTTTCGTTTGATGCCTTGTATGGATTTGAATTTTTGTTTGACATGAGGAGGCATTGACTCAAAATGATCAGCTTTGCCATCATGGATCGTAAGCACTGTCACGGACTGTGCAAAACCATGCACAACCATCAACTTGTCTTGTTTGCCAAGAATGGTCCCAAGCCCCTCCGTTCCAAAACTAGCACCTGGCTTCGTGGTTCTGTAAAGGACCACGACATCAGACGGAGTCCTTGGTAGATCATCGTGCCCTTGCTGCACCACGATCCACGTTGGTTGTGGAGTCTGAGACACATGAGGAGTCGCCATGATGCGTCAGGGCGATAGCACAAGGTCTTGGCTTGTACTGTTGATGTGTTTGACGAAGGGATTGTTTATGTTTTATTGGTTTTCTTATATGTATGTATGTATGTATGTGTACATATATTTATATATATATGCCAATAAGCTAGCTACACCAGCTACACCAAATTATAGTCGAATATACTGCCATCATTGGATGTGGGCTTCACTGCGAGCCATTGCGAAACTGATGTAACCTTCTTCACATGATGCCACTATAATTGCACCAGATCAATATCATAATTCTGTTGTTCTCTTATGGTTTCAAAGTTTCAAGTAACATTTGTGATATAATTATTTCCATTCGAACACACAGCTCTCATAATTATGATGTTTATCATTCAGATGCATAAAACTTATGATATGAAAATCTTACCCTCATGGTCTGCACCAAAATGAATGTCCTGCTACCTTTGACTTAGGGATATCAATCCTAGGCCTCTACATCCTAGGAACCACATCCTAGGCTGCAACACCTAGCAAACCAATCCCTAGGCTACCAAGCCCCTAGGAACCCCATCCCTAGGCCACCAAGCCCTAGGAACCTCATCCCTAGGCTACCAAGCCCCTAGGAACGAAGTTTGACTTCTAAACTTCCTTCGGCAAACATCTACAAATCATTTCATATTTGGCTGGTAGGATGATCCACCAACACATGATGGATCATCACCGGCCATCATGGGCCCAGCCAAGGTGATTTTGGTGGTGTCCATCAGTGCTGGTGGAGTTCTCTCCTGCCTTTGCGTGGGCATGTACATGTACGTCCAGCGTGAGAAGCCACTTGACATGACGTAGAACATGTATGACGACATAAATATTAATTAATTATAATAATTATAAACTATATACGTATATAGTATAGTATATTTAAATAAATAAATAAACAAATAAATATATATATATAAACATATGGCTGTGTCTTTTTCTAACATTTTCTAACGTTTGCAGATTTTAGAAAAGGCATGGTGTTCGAGTTGTGCGAATCATACCCCCGAATCATATCCCGAATCATGCCCCCGAATCATACCCCAAAGAGCACGATTGTGAATGTTTCTTTTGGGATTGTTTGGGATTGCAGTGGCCTCACTAGTTTTAATGGACCAGACAAGCTAATTGACCAGTGTGGACCAGATCCGATACTCCCTGGCTACCTTCACATACCTTCACGACATGAGTGGTGAATCTTCTCCACGCGCACATCATTATCCCTAAGCTGGCTGGCTCTGGGCCAGGTGGCTGGCTAGTGGCGGCTGGCTGGCTGCGTGGCTGGCTAGGTGGCTATGGCAGTTGCTGCTGCTGGTTGGGTGGCCGCTGGCTGGCTGCGTGGCTGGCTAGGTGGCTAGGTGGCTAGGTGGCTAGGTGGCTAGGTGGCGGGCTCTCCTGATGTACTTCACATGCTTGCTGTGTTGTCTGATGAGGCCGATGAGCCTGATGAGGAGGATGACTCCGGCCGTGGCTGGCTAGCTGGCTGGCTGGCTGGCAGGCAACCCAAAATCCGCCGAAGAGGAGCATTAGCCTAACCGTAGCTGAGCTAAGGGTATACATCAGAAGAACATCCAGAAGACAGTCCGGCAGGCCGGCGGATATAAATCATAGATGTGTCTTTATTTAGATCTTATATTCTTCATGGTCAGGTCCGGTCCAAGGTCGCCTGACAGGTCGAGCCATTGCAGCCATTAAGTAGCAGGCGTGGTAGGTTGCCGGTGGGAAAAAGAGACTCAAGCAACAAAGCTTCCTGAATTCAAAAAAAGGGGTTTCCGAATCATACCCGAATCATACCTCAAACTTCCCAATTCTGAACCTTGGTACATTTGCAAGATCAGAACTTGTGTTTTGTGAGCATAAATCTTTCTTCGCAACCACTGGCCACGGGCAGCGGCATCCTGCAATGGTACCAACATGCCAACTCCAAAGCGCACACGCCGCTTTAACTGCAGCACCTTGAAGCCGCACCCTGCAGCGGCACCAGCAGGCCAGCTCCAGAGCGGACACGCCACTCTAACAGCTGCACCCTCCAGCAGCAGCGTGCAGCAGCACCCTTCACTAGCACCCTTGCAGCACGAGTTGGGTACAATACGTACCCTCCTTGCAGCACCCTCAAGCATCACCCTGGAGCCCGACAGCCAGCACCCTCAAGCAGCACCTTCCACCGGCATCCGCTCACCAGCATGCCCGCCCCAAAGCATGGCTTAAAGCGCGCGCGCACACACACACACACCCACACCCACACCCACACCCACACCCACACGCACACGCACACGCACACGCACACGCACACGCACACGCACACGCACACGCACACGCACACGCACCAAGTTACAAGTTACAGCCAAAAAGCACACGCACACGCACACGCCAACACCCACACGCGCACGCACACACGCACAAAACACAACCGAAGATAAAAAACCAAACAAAACACAAACACGCAAAAGCACACGTCAACACGCGAACAGCACACAACGGCGACACCGAGCAAGGGGGGGGGGGCCCAAACGCGCACGCGCACGCGCACAGCGGCACACGCCACACGCACACGCAACCAACGCACAAGGCCACCCACCCACCCACCCACCCAACCACCCACACACACACACACACCAACCACCACTCTGACACCTGTACAGCAAGCAACACCCTGCACCAGCACCTTGCAGCGGCACTCCAACGGCACCACCATGCCCGCTCCAAAGCGCACACACCACTCTGACAGCAGCACGCACAGCGGCAACAGCATGCCGCTCCAGGTATGGTATAAGTACTAACATTTGAAACATTTTGGGGGTAAGTGTGGGTAAACAACCATACATGGAGGATGATGGGGAAACACTAAATCAAGGTCCGCGAATCATACCCACGAATCATACCCCAAATCATACCCACGAATCATACCCCTAGACAAGCATCCCGGATTGCATGCGGCATTTCGAGACATACCCATATGTTTAAAAAGCATCATATATACATCCACACACACACACACATATATATATATATACAGATCCATATATCTGTAAATAGATATATATATATTTATTTATTTATTTTTAATATCATATATATATATAACATTATATATATTACATCATATATAACTATATTTATATTAATATATACATATATCATATATCTATATACATACATGCGAATAGAGTGTAGGCTACGTACGATTGTATATTCACATATAATTCGACACTCTAGGATCCAATGCCAAAGGGGTATATCAAACTGGCCTCTTTGGCTCAAGACCCACTGCAGTACCGGAAAAGGGCAAAGCCATGCGGAAGCCGCTGTCCATGCGTCGTCACCTTTGAAGAGAACCACTTCAAGAACCAACATCAATACATAATCGGAGAGCTAACCTCTGATTCACAGGTTATCAGCCGTAGGACTCCTACGGAGCCTACGAGCGGGTAGCCGCGGGCCTTACAGATGACTGAACAGGATAGCAGCGATAATGCATTTTCTTTCTCTGGACATGCCGTTGCACCAGCTGCCGGCACGCAGTCAAATTCTTCACAGAGTATCGACACTGGTGGAAGCGATGCCTCAGAACTGAGAACAAGCCTACCCAGGCGACCTCTGGTTGCTCCTAGAGGGAGACAAATTTCGACAATGCAAGCAATTGAAGATAGGGACAGCACACCTGGAAAGAGAAGATCATCTGCACGACAATTGTCGCCTCCGATGACTCCAAGGACCAAGGCAAAGACTACGTCGTCGAATCCGCTTTCACCGATTCAGGACGCTACTCCATCAGG